TCACTTGTGACTCATACCAACGCTATATATAACAGCCCTAAGCCCTGCTCTGTCCTGTGCCAATCTCACTGTCTCTGATACACCCATCCCAATTACCCCAGTCACTGAATCAATCCACCTCATAGAGGGCCTTCCCCTCTTGCACTGTCCTTCAACCCTCCCAAACATGACATCCCCTTCCAAGGACTGGTCCCTCCTTACAATATGTCCAAAATATGTCAGACAAAGCTTCAGGGTCCTTGCCTCCAAGGAGCAACCTGGCTTCACCCTCTCCAGGAAGAACTTGTTAAATTCAGTACTCTTCTCTAGTACCACAGCTCAAAGGTATCAATTCTATCATCTCTAGTCATTGTCCAGATTTCTGATGCGTAGTAAATAACTGCAAAGACTGTGGCCTGTATCAGGTGCACCTTAGTCTCCAGACTGACACTGTTACTCTTCAGTACTTTGGAGAGGTCACTAACAGCAGACTTTCCCATCTCAATACCTTTTTTAATTACAAAGTTATATTTTGGCTCTTTTGAAATTTCTTCAGTTTCGGTTTGGACTCGAATATGAGTAACTGAGTGCTGTTCCTCAATCTCTTTTCCCTCTATTTCCATTCCCACTTCAGAGTTAAATTGTCCTAAATGTGTTTCTTTTGAGTTGAGTGAGTCCGTAATTCAGTTGAGTCTCCTAAAGAGGTGGATTATTTCAAGGATTTTGGAAAATGTTCTGTCAAATTTATTACCATCCTTTTAAAATTATGTCAATGATTCTAAAATAGTTTATTCTAATGATTATCAGCTTGAATTTTAGTTGTGTAAACCTAACCAGTGCCTCATTTATTTGGTGGAGATTAATCTGTAAAACTGTAGCTCTTTTTCCTAGGAAAGCATTTAAACCACAACTATGTTAATAAGTAGACACTAGAGGTTGAAGAATTTCTAAATAGCATTTGTAATGCCCTGAAATAGAGAATTTAAGTGATAGATCATTCAAAATTAAAGGTGCCACGAGGAAAAATTTTCGGAAGCAACCAAGATCTATTCTTTGAATCCAAGCGCCCCCTTGTGGATTTAAATTATAGTAAATTTAACAATCTCATAACACTATTTTTTTTTTATTTTGAGAAAAAAATTTAAATTGAAGTGTCAATTAATTCCACTTCTTCATTGTTGGTAATTGTGGATGTTACGTATTTCCTTGATGAGCCTCACACGGTATTCGTCTTCCTTTGTGTGTGTGTGTAACGTGTTCCCACCATGATTCATAAGTGATTAAATTTATAACTCACTCTATGACACAAATACCTGCTGATGGGATAGTAATGAAAACCTTTTTTACTAAATTTGGTTACAGTAACTGAACCTGGCAGCTACTCCACAGGAGAAAAATGAAGCAGCCCATTTCCATGAAGAGTTAAATCTGGAAAAGCCTGTGGAGCATTTTGATGGTGACCTAGAGGGTTTCTGGTTCATTGGTTCAATGGCAGGATCTACATAGGCATAATCTAATTCATAAACCAAAGTAGAATTTTCAAACTTAATCACATCCATAAGTGACAATAAAAGCAAACTGAAATACAAAACTCCACTCACATCAAATTACCTGTAGGTCATAGTGAACCTATAGAATGAAGTGTGACTATCCTACCAATTTTCAAAGACTGTAAATCTTTATGGAAGATGAGTGCTTCGTCATTCTATGTGGAGTGGCTGGTGGATACAAAACAAAGTCCTCAACCCAATACTTAGTTCCCTGCACCATCTAGGGTTCACTCTGATTATACAACACTATATTTTAAGTACTAGACAGGGAAATAAGGCAAAGTAAATATATAAACACAAAAGATTTAGGTTGATTAAAATGGAGTAAAATGATCTCTGCTTGCAGGTGACATAAAGTTATATAGGAAGTGACGGTGACAAATCTGTGATGAACTGTGCTGCCTTCCCAAATCCAAAACCACCAGTCTCTCCATAGGGAAAGATGGGTACTCTCTTGCCATGAAACTTACTGCCTCTGGTCCCAACTCCACAATGAGTGGACTACTGACTCTAGCAATGAGTTTTGGGTCAGATAGTTTTAGACACAACTCCAAAAGATTTAGCACCAAAAGTGACCAAGTGAAAGATAACTTTCAGAAATCAGTCCAATTTCTCTACCAATAAATAAAATTTTGAACAAAAGGAACTCTTCTCCAACACCACAGTTCAAAGATATCAATTCATCTTCTGTCATCCTTATTAATTGTGTAGCTCTTAGGTGTATTGCAAGTAACCGAAAAGACCATGACCTGGATGAGGGGCACCTTAGTCCTCAAATTGATATGAACGCCTCTCAGTAGTTTGGAGAGGTCCCTGACTACAGACTTTCCTAGTGCAATATTTTTCTTATCTCCTGACTGCTGGTACCAATTGTATTGATCATTAGCCATCAGGAATTTACAAATCAAAACAACATGATGTCATTTCACCCCAGCAATATTAGCAAAATTCATAGACAGGAAACAAAAATACTAACAAGGATATAGAGAGATTGAATTTTATACAGTTCTACTAGGAGTATAAAGTGACACAAATACTATGAAAAATAGCATAGTAGCACTTCTTTAAAATTTGTAAATAGAAAGAGATAAGAACTGTGATATAGATATATGCACAAACATGTTCATGGCAGTCGACTGCTTAATTCCTTGTTGTCAAGTTAGAACTGACCCATAGCTGACTCACCAATGGGTTTTCAACAGCTGTAAATTACATTGTAATAGATTATTCCTATATCCTCCAAAGAGCAGCTGGTAGACCCTCAACTAGATGGATTAACACAGTGACTATTGCAACAGCCTTGAGTATGTCGGAGACAATGAGATGGCACAGTATAGGACAGGATTCAAATCTGTTTTTCACTATGAGTCATATTCAGCTTGATGGCACCGAACAAGAACAACAGTTATGTACAGTCAATTGAAAAGTTTATACAGGTAGAAACATGTTGCAAGTTACCAGGATGGGAGGGGATATGTAGAGAAAAACCCACTAACTATATAGTGGTGTTTTTTTTGCTGGGGCTATCCAGTCTCTCTCAAATCATAGTGACCCTGTGCATTAAATCACTTCCCTGACTTGAACCAACCTCATAATCACTACTGTACATGACCTCTTTGCTGTAACCATTAAGTCAATACATGTTCTGAGAATCTTCCTCTTCTTTCAATGATTCCCCATTTTACCAAGAATGATGTCCTTATCCAAGGATTGGCCCTTCCTAGCAACATGTCCAGACTATCTAAGACCAAATCATACCATCCTTGTTTCTAAGAAGAGCTCTGTTCCTTTCAGATAGATTTGTTCCTTTGACAGTTTATGCCATATTTGGTATTCTTCTATAATTCCATACATCAGTTCTCTCCTTATGTATTATTTAACTTTCATATGCGTATGAGGTAACTGAAAATATCATGACTTGGGTCATTTGAACCTTTGTTCTTTAAGTGACATCTATATCACTTTAAGGAGATCTGGAGGAAGTTTGGCCATTGAAATATATCCTTTGGTGTTTTTTTTCTCCTGCGTCAATCAATGTTGATTATAGTATAAAGTAAAATAAAATCATTGAGAACTTCAATTTTCTTTTAATTGATCTTTGTATTCTTTGTTGGTCCTATAGTGACATTTTTTGTTTTTTTTATTTTCATGTGTAATCCCTAATTGGAAGCTATAGTCTTTGAGCTTCTCAATAAATGCTTTTTTTGCAAGAAAGATCATGATATGTGCATGATGATTTTTTGACAAATCTTCCTCCATTCCTAATGCCATGCTTTTCTTCATATAGTCCAGTTTCTCCAATTATTTGCTCAGCATCCAGATTGAATATGTATAGTGAAAAGATACTCTTCTTGGTCCTGCCTTCCCTAATTTTAAACCATACAGCATTCCCTTCTGTTTGGATGACTGCCATTTAGTCTAAACAGATTCCACATGAGCATGATTAAGACTTCTGGATTTCCCATTCTTCTCAAAGTTTTCCATAATTCACTATTTTTTTTCTCATGTAGTCAAATGCCTTTGCATCATCCTTAGACACAAATAAGCTTCTATCTTGGAATAAATACAGCTGTAGAATGCTCCTCAGAAATGAGGATGGTAAGACTTTGTGTCACATACTTTGACAATATTATCAGGAGGGGCTATCAGGAGAAAGACATCATAGCTAGTAAAGCAGAGGGTCATAAAAAAAGAGGTAGACTCTCCAAGAGATAAACTGACGCTGTGACATTCACAAAGAACTAGCTTATCGGTGAGTATGAGGAGGATTTAGGACTGAGCAGTGTTGAGTGCAGTGCTTTGCAGAGTCGTACTATGAGTAGTAGTTGCCTAAAGTGCACCCGATAACAAAAACAGTAACAATTTTACCTATAGTAACTCCAAACTGGAAATAATCCAAATATTCTTTAACACTGAAAATAGAAAATAAAATATCTTTTCATGAAATGAAATTACATATAATACTAAGAATGTTATATATCTATGATGTAATTTATACATTAAAAAAGCATAAACTTGGAAATGATAGGTGAGTTATACTATGGAGCTCCGGCATTGTGTTTATTAATCTGTGTTATCCTGACATGCTTACTTAAAAGTTCATATGGTTCTGTAATTAAAAATTGCTTTAAAAGCACATTTTAATCTAAATTTAGGGTTTTTCTAAAAAAAATAAAGAGTATAAGAATCCTCTATTTTTTTTGTTTGTATGTTCTCCTTTACTCTGTCTTTTAATAATTGGTTGTTGGTGTTTTTGTATGAGTGTGCGTGTTTTTAGCTTCCTAGGCAGGTCAAGTTGAAGTTTCCATCTGTGTGGAGAGATTCAAGAACCAAACCAACCAACCTGGGACCTTCCCTTCTCCTGCTTCTTGCAGGGTGCGCCGCCAGAGGGCGCCTGCTCGCGAGCCTAACTGCCCCAGAACAAAACAACCGCCATTTTTCTGGAGGGAACAAAAGTTATGCAGTGAAACCATGTTGAGCTTCTTACTTCTGCTCTTTAAGCTCAGCACACTCAAGACCGACCATGGTAAGTAGCAAAAGCTCTCCCCCATTCTTTGGCGAAATGCCTCGTCTCCTCTTCCTTTAAATGTCTGGTTGTTCCTGAGTGACCTTTAACTCTGCAAACCTGAGTTGTTATGTGCCATCGAGTCACTTGCGACTCATAGCGACCCTATGTACAATAGCCCTAACCTCTGCTCTGTCCTGTGCCAGTCGCACTGCCTCTGACACACCCATCCCGGTTATCCCAGTCACTGAATCAATCCACCTCATAGAGGGCCTTCCCCTCCTGCGCTGTCCCTTCACTCTCCCAAGCGTGATGTCCCTCTCCAAGGACCTCTCCCTCCTTACAACATGTCCAAAGTATGTCAGACGAAGCCCCAGAATCCTTGCCTCCAAGGAGCAGCCTGGTTTCACACTCCCTGAGCTGCTCCCACATTAATGCTTTCCCCACCTGAAATACACCAAATGATCTGTAAGGACTCTTCCACTGGTCCTGGACTTGTCAGAAAAGATGAGAGGTCCCTTGGCTCCTGTACAACCTGAAGACTAGAGTTTCAGAATCTATTCTTTCTAAGACAATATTCCCCCTGCTACACTCCTGCTATTCTTAGTACCTTTTTTCTACTGAAACTCCTAACTATACAGACTCTGGAGAAAAATGGGCAAGCTCCTCCCAAGTGATTTACAGTCCTGCTGAGGGTCAGCCCTGAGAGGATTCCCTCTCCCCAGCAATGCATTGAATTAAGTCCAGAGAGAAGTGGGATTGTGGATAGACTAAAAGATCATAGTACGTAGATTGAATGGTTTGAATTTAGAAATGTAAATGAAGAAGGAAAATATAAAGTGGTGAGTGTTCTAATAAGCCACTTTACTCTTTACAGACTCCGGAAAATTTGGTTTACAAATTATTGTGCCAAAGAAAATTGAGTCAAATATAAATGAAGACTTTGAATCGCAAGTAATTAAAAACTATCTTTTCTTTTGGTTTTGCTGATTTAACTTTCTTTTCTGTAAAATTTCTAAACAGTTAACATGATGTTGCCTGTCTACAGCCATTAAATAGATTTTTTTCCCTCTGTTCACATTTTCTGAGGTGAAAAATATCTTTTGCATATGAATAGAGATTGAAATGTTTGCTAGGTCTCCTCTACAGTCCTGATTGACACCTTCAGGGTGGTATCTTTAGTCACTGCTTAGGAGATCAGCTAACCACTGCAGGAGATGATTTTTCTGCCTTTAGCAGAACCCAGGGATGTGGAGGGACATAATTTCAAGATGCTGATCTTTGATTTCCTAGGGTAGCACAGCAGTGGTTTTGTTACTTTATTGCAAATGTATTAATAATTAGAATGAATTTTTTTATGATATTTGACTCAGTTTTGGAATCAAGATTATACTCTTTGGTTCTTTCAATTGAACAATGTATCCTGAATACTAGAGTGATTTTTGCAGAATGTAATTGAGTTCCTTGAAACATTATACCTCAGTTTCTTCCCAGTTGTACATTACAGTGCTAAGACTTTTTTAATACAGTAATCCCCTCAGCAACTTACTTTTCCCCTGATGTTGTTGTTGTTATGTGCCGTCGAGTTGCTTGCAACTCATAGCAACCCTGTGTATGACAGCCGTAAACTGCTCTGTCCTGTGCCAATCACACTGTCTCTGACACTCCCAACATACAGAGGTTTTTGTTGTTGTTTTTTTAGGTGTTTTTTTTGTACATACAGTTTTTAATCTTACATGTCTAAATATGTTATTAGTTTCAAAAAAACCATGTCTTTCATAATATCTTGTATTTTTTCCATTTTAATAAAAATGAAAATACAAAAAAAAATTACATATTGTTAACACTTTTAATAGACTTTTACATCAAAATTGCAAACATGAACTCCTAATTTGAAGGGAGCTCTGGTGACATAATGTGTAGTGTTATGATCTGCTAACCAAATGGTCAGAGGTTCAAATCCTCAAATCCATCAGCTGCTCAGTGGGACAAAGATTGTCACCTCTCACACAATTTTACAGTCCTGAGAAATTTGACAGAGGGTTGTTGTCAGTCAGAACCCACTAGGTGGCAGTAGGTATGGTTTTGCTTTGGTTGATTCCATTTGAAAATGTAGACCGTTTCCTCTTCCAGGGAATAACCTCAATGCAGACATTACAAAGTTTATATAATAGTAATAGTGGTAGTAGTAGTAATACTAAGAATAATAATTAATAATAAATAATAATAATAATTCTAAATAAGTGATGGCAAATAGACAAAGGAATACTAATAATGCGTACATACCAGAGTCGACATGTAAGCACATAAAAATCCTTGAAAGCAACAGCTTTTCGTATATTTTAATTTTTGCATTTTTCCTGTTCCTAGAATCCACCTCTATGAGGTAGATTGATTCGGTGACTGGGGTAATCGGGATGGGTGTGTCAGAGGCAATGAGATTGGCACAGAATAGAGCACAGTTTAGGGCTGTTGTACATAGGGTCGCTATGAGTCGCAAATGACTCGACGGCACATAACAACAACAACAACAACATATACTGAAATGATTAAAATGTCAGCATGCAATTTAAAGAAAGCATATAGTGGGTAAGTAAAGAATTTAAGACTTTTTAAAAGGAACTTCAGGATATTAAAAACAAGTGTAAAGTCTTAAGTTATCTCTCATTACTAAAACAGATATACCACAAACAGAGGGCTTTATAAAGTAGAAATTTATTTTTTCAAAATTTGTTTTTGCTGTTATGTACTTCTGACTCAGAAGCTGACCTTCCATTGGATTTTCAGAGGCTAGAAGTCATGAAGAGATTGTTTATCTTTCTAGAGTGGAGCAACTGGTAAATTTGAACTGCCTGTCCTTAGAGTGAGTGTGACTTCTTACCCACTTCTTGTTGTTATGTGCAGTCAAGTTGGAATTGACTCATAGCTGACCCTTCAGTGGGTTTTCAGAAGCAGCAAATTGCAAGACAGGAGATTGCCGATCTTTCTTGTGTGGAGCATGTAGAGGATTAGAATGATGTGCCTTTGAGTTGGTTTCTTACCCACTAGACCAAAAGAAATCCAGGTTCAGAGTGCTGGCTCTAAGGTAAGGCTTTCTGTCTGTGTATCCTCTTCTCGAAGAAGGCATTGTTCATTAAAAACTGCTCCTTGGTTACATGGAGCTCTCCATCTTTTCTCTACCCACTTATTCAGTCGGGTTTTTGTTAGATATATATTCATATGCTGTTGTTGTTATGTGCTGTTGAGTGGCTTGCAATTTATAGCGAACTTATGTACAATAGCCCTGAAACCTGCTCTATCCTGTGTCAACTTTACTGCCTCTGATACACCTTCCCACATTACCCCTGTCACTGTATCAATCCATCTCATCAATGGTCTCCCTCTCTTTCTCTGTATCTCCACACTTCCAAGCATGATGTCCCTCTCCAAGTACCAGTGCCTCTTTGCAACATGCCTGGTATGTCAGATGAAGCCTCAGAATCCTTGCCTCCATGGAGCAGGCTGACTTCACCCTCTCTAGGATGAACTTATTTGTTCTGTATATTCAACACTATTCTCCAGCACCACAGCTCAAAGGAATCAATTCTGTTTTCATCATCCCTAGTCCTTGTCCAGCTCTCTGACGTGTAACAAGCAGTTGTGAAGACTATAGCCTGGATCAGGCACACCTTAATCTCCAGAGTGGCATGGCTTTTCTTCAGTCCTCTAGAGAGGTCCCTAACAGCTGACTTTTGCAATACAGTTAGTCTCTTGATTTCCTGTCAGCTGGTACCAACAGTATAGATTGTGGAGCCAAGCAAACTAAAAAAACTGTTAACAATCTCAATCTTCAATTTCTATCATAATGCTGCCAGTTGACCCACTGGTGAGAACCTTTGTTTTCTTGATGTTGAGCTTCAATCCATATTGAAAACTGCAGTCCTTGACCTTCTGCAGCAAGCACTTCACGTCCTACTCAGTCTCAGCAAGCAGGGTAGTGTCATCTGCATAATGCAGGTATTTAATGATCTTCCTCTAATCCTGATGCCACATTCTTCCTCACACATCTCAGCCTCCCAGATGATCTGTTCTGCATATAGACTGAATAGGTATGGAGACAGAATCCCAGGTGTACACCCTTCCTGATTTTAGACCTTGGTCTGTTCTGATAACTGTCACCTGGTCCAAGTATAGGTTTCACATAAGCACAAATCAAATGTTGCATTCTTCTTAGAATCAGCCACGGTTTATTGTGATCCACGCAGTCAAACACCTTTACATAGTCAATGAAACACAGAAAGACATTCCTCTGGTACTCTGATTTCAGCTAAGATCCATCTGTTGTTGGTATGTGCCTTTGAGTCGCTTGTGACTCCTAGTGACCCTGTGTACAACAGCCTTAAACTCTGCTCTGTCCTGTGCCAATCGCACTATCTCTGATACACCCATTCCGATTACCACAGTCACTGAATCAATCCACCTCATAGAGGGTCTTCCCCTCCTGTGCTATCCCTCCACCCTCCCAAGCATGATATCCTCCTTGCAACATGTCCAAAGTATGTCAGACAAAGCCTCAGAATCCTTGCCTTCAAGGAGTAGCCTGGTTTAACCCTCTCAAGGATGAATCTGTTTTCTTAGCAGTCCATGGTACACTCTATACTCTTCTCCAGCACCACAGCTCAAAGGCATCAATTCCCCTTCTATCCCCCCTAGTCATTGTCCAACTCTCTGTCTGACTCTCTGACAAGACCATAACAAAGACCATGGCCTGTATCAGATGCACCTTAGTCTCCAGAGAGACACCATTGCTCTTCAGTATTGTGAAGGGTACCTAACAGCAGACTTTCCCATTGCAATACATCTTTTAATTTCCTGGCTGCTGGTACCAAAAGTGTTGACTGTGGAGCCAAGAAGACTAAAGCTGTGAACAACTTCAATCTTAGTTATAATGCCCCTAGTACCATGGCCTCTTCTAAAAACCAGCCTGGACATCTGGTAGTTTTTTGTTGAGGTACCGCTGCAGATGTTTTTGGATAATTTTC